GCATCTGACGCTTCCTGTGGACTGTTATCTGAGATACATGTGTCTGGTATCCCATGTCAAGCAAATTGGGCTTTGAGTTTACCTATAACTGTTTTCGCTGTTGTATCTGGTAAGTAGTCAATAGTTGGAATAGTAGTCTACAATGACTAAGTAATCTCTTCCATTCAATACGAACTGGTCGGTTCCAACTTTTGCCCACAGCCTATCTGGAACTTCATGCAGAATCAGAGTTTCTTTCTGTTGTCACGTTCCTACAGTCTGGCACACATCACATTTTGCAATGTCATCTTTGATCTCTGCACTCATGTTTGGTCAGTACAATGATTTTTTGGCTCTGCATAGACATCCCTCAATACCAATATGTGATGAATGAATACGCTTTAACATATCATCTCTTAGTGAACGTGGTACTACTGCTCGTTCACCTTTGAATATCACACCACTCTGAGAGCTTAGTTCATCACGGATATGGAAGTAAGGAGTTATTTGTGCAGGCCTTATTTTCTGGAAATCCAGTTTGTATCACTTTAGACAACACCTGAAGGCGTTCATCGCTTTCTATGTGTTGTCTGATATCCTCTATTCTCGGTTCTGCAATTGGTAGATAATCTATCATGTTCACTGTTTCAATATCTGTCTGCAAACCTTCTAGGGGTTCATCCAGCAAGTATGCACGGCTTAGTGTATCTGCTAAGTACATTTGCTTTCCCGGGTGATATACCAGGTTTACCCCATACTTTTGTAATCTTAACAGCATTCTCTGCAGTCCCTTTGGAGTACTATGAAGAGGCTTCTTCAGGATCATCTCCAACGGTTTATGATCTGACTGTACCTTTCTGCCATAGGTATACTGGTGAAATCTTTCTAACCCAAAAATAACTGATAACAATTTGAGCATATCTTGTCTCAGCATTCGTTAATGCTCTGCTTGCGAAAGCTATTGGCTGACCATTCTGGGTTAGGGCTGCACCTAAACCGGTTTGTGACGCATCTGTCTGCAAGGTTAGTTCTTTATCCATGTCATAGTATTGCAGTACTGGATAAGAAGTGACTAACCGTTTCACTTCATCTATTGTATCATCATGGACTTTCAACCAACACCACTCACTATCTTTGTGTGTTAGCTTTCTGAGCGGCTCACAAATAGCACTAAGTTTTGGTAGAAACTTACTCAGGTAGTTGACAAATCCTATGAATCTCTGAATTCCAGCCACATCTTTTGGCTTCGGCATCTCAGTCACAGCTCTCACTTTTGCTGAATCTGGCTTTAGACCTTCATCAGTTATGAATGGAAGTTGACTCAACCTCAATTTGATTTTGTCTTTGTTCAGTTTCAGATTGTGCTCTCTGCATAGATTCATCAGTGCACGCATCTTTATGTCGTGGTCTATCGTGGCTTCACTCACTGATTCTCCTTCACCAAATATCAGTGTGTCATCGACTATGGACCTCACACCTGGCAATCCTTCAATAGCTTGGTCATGTCTACGCTGGTACTCCTCGGACACTGTGGATATAACAAAGGGCATTCATATCCAACGAAACCTACCAAATAGTGTATTGAATGTAGTTAGATAAGAGCTCTCCTTATCCAACTCAATGTGCCAGAAACTATTCTTGGCATCATAACACTAAACACCTTAGCTTTGCTCAGCTCTGGTAATATGTCTTCTATAGTCTGTGAAGGGTAATGACTTCTACGTAGTGCTGTATTCAAGTTACACGGATCAATGCAAATTCTCATTTTGCCTGGCTTGATTACTGTTACTAGACTAGACACCCAGGGTGTCGGCTCTGTAATTGGTGCTATTATTTTCTCTTCTATCAGTCTATCTAGTTCATCCTTTAGCTGACCTTTGACTGCTATAGGTACTTTACTTGGAGGATGAATGACTGGATTGCACATTTGGGTCTAACTCAAGGTGGTACTTTCCTGCTAATTTACCTGTACCTTCAAAGACGTCTGGAAACTCTTTGACTATTTGACTATTTGCTCTGCTGACACTGGCTTTGTATCAGTTTTCTTGTCAGTTCGGTGTACTGGTAGTCTCATCTTGGCTGTTGGTTTGTCATTAACAACCATGATTTGTTCATGTTGTACCTTAACTAGTCCCATTTGTTGAATAGCTCTACTTCCTAGTAACGGTATGCTTGTCTCATCGTCAACTACTACAAACTCTGCTCTGTATTTTTTTCCATTTTTTGGGTTGACCATTTTGACTTTGGTCTGTACCTTGGGCTTCATCATTGCCTTGTTGTACATCACTAGTACTCTATCTGTCTTCATGAATTCGTAATCATTCACATTGCCTAGTTCCATTAATGAAATGATGCTGCATGATGCTCCCAAATCAAGCTGAAACTTGACTGGTCTCTTTAATTAATGTTCATTGTAGCATGTATCTGCTTGGGAAAACTGCTCTCAGTCACTCTATTGATATATTCGTTTTCTGGT